TTTCACAATGATTGAATGCGATTGTTTGGTTGTAATCGACATAGAGATATAGTAGGTTAAACCAATCAATTAGGGTTAATTTCACTCGAGAGATGTAATTAACTAAAATTGGAAGATCGGGTCTAACATAGTAAATGAGTAATTCATTAATTGGCTTGTAGAAAAATTAATTAGGCGATGGTTAAACGAAACCATGATTCCAACCATGTTCTTCATCCGAAATCTCCAACTATTTGTCTTTTTCTTATTTTGTAGATTTTTTTGTTTATCTATCGCTTTTCAAATCTAAAGTTTAATTGTGTGTGTTTCATTTGATTGTTAGAATTAAATTGATTAAAGTCGTGTAATTTAAAGTAACATTCCTCGAGGGATCGACAACCCGGACTCAAAAAATCCATTTTATTACTTGTACGCGACCCATGCACTTGCGGTATATTTTCAAGCGAACAATAAATAAAACAGAGGAAAGAGTAAGCATTACTTTGCTTGCTTTATTTATTATTGTGTCAAAAACTATAGGGATTTAAGAAAGGGGGACATGAATGTCTAGAAATATGTAAAATGCCATTTTTTTTATAAACAAAAACACTGATTATGATTAAATCTCAGTCCCCAGCAATCATGCAATATTGTTACACAAGAATGAAAAAATCATGAAGAAAATGCCCATCATGTAAAAAAAATCACGCAATATCATTATGAACTTTTATGAATTTAAGCAGTTATTATTTTACAAATTCGTTGGGCCTTAAAGGATCTAAAAAAATTATTATCTGATGTATTTAGTGGGGTTGTTAATTTAGTACACCGAACAACAAAAAAATCAACTGATTATTACCCATAAGATTTATAGAATAATAAAATCTGAAATATAGAGATATAAGCTACTGCATAACTGAATTTTATTAATATTTTCTAACTATCAATCTTAGACATTGTTAGAATGCTCATATTGTCTGTTTCCAAGGCCAAATACTTCATAATTAAGATTCTTAAGCCAGTCCCCTCCCCTATCTTCTTCCTGCACAAATTGACTAATTTGAAGTACCTATTTCAATACTGACTTGAGCAAAATAAATCTTAGCAGCATAGTTCACTGAAAAAAATTGCAATTGTATCCATCTCTCTCACCTTAACAAGGTTCTCATGCTTTACTCTGGACATCATCATCACTTCCCTATTAAAACGACTCTCAAGCATAGCTCTCTCTCCATGATATTTAGAGTATGTGAGCTTTGAGGGCAATGAAATATTTCAGGTGCAAAAATAAAAATATAGAAATCAAGTTTTTTGGATGTGTAATTTTGCATTCTAATTATCGGAAACAAAAAATAATTAGAAGCAGTGAAGTAGTACGAGGAAAACTACTTTTATATTCTCTGTCCCTACAAATTAAGATATATCTTGTGCCTCTTTCTTGGATTAACGAAGATTAACTTCGTTAATCAATTCATCGTTCTCATATAAATAGTAGTTCATCGGATGACACTTGATATTAAACAACTAAAATCAGTATTTCTTACATCTCTATTCTTTTCTATGCGCTACAAAATGCAGCTACTTATACTACGGATACACTAAACTGTTCCCATTGATCTTACAAAGTAAGCACTATTTTCAAAGAAGTAATTTATCAAAGAGTCAAATGAGCTATTGAGCAACCAAGTTACCATGGAAATAAACTCAATAAGCTTCCGTTTTTCATTTCTGCTTGAGAAAAAACTGAGAAATTAATGGGCAATGTATTAAAAGAAACATAAATTAGAAGCTCAATCCCATCTCAATAAAATTAGTTTTTATTATCAATGAAACGTTAGCATATCACATATGGGGAAGACGCCAAAGTTAATCCCAAAAGCACCTGAAAACGCTAAATGCTTAGGCTTCGCCACTATCAATTTTTTAATAAAAACAACTAGTTTATGAAATAATTCAGTAAAATAAAATCAACCAAAAGCTATTTCCACTAACAAAATAAAATCAGTAATCTTTAAAATTGCATTTATAACCTAAATGAAAATTACGTCCCAAGTATTGGAGAAGCGGGTCGACAATCCTTTTCATCACCAGAACACCTCGCAAATCACTGCTTGTCTCTCGAAACCCTAATCCATCGCTGCTTGCATCTCGACAGGTCGAACATAATCATCAACGTCGACTGCTCCATCGTCTTTGAAGCAAACAGTAACCCGCTGTTAACTGCTTTCAGTCCTTGCAATTGCGCAGCACGGACTGCGCAGAGAGAAGAAGTAGAAGAAGAACCTGCGCCTCTCCGCTTTGCGCGAAGAGAAGAAGAAGACTGGTGCATGTATGAACGAAGTGAGAGAGAGCAAAAAGCGAACGTGATAAAACAGCTGTAGGAGAATGGGATAAGTTTGTAGAAAGACCATTGGAAATGTGAGGGTAAAATGAGAAATAAAAAAATGCTTCATGAATGAATAGTAAATGATGTTTTGATTCTTTTAAGTAGGGAAAATTCAGGACAACACATGTTGAAGTTGTGTTTGGAAGTACAAATGTAAACTATTGAATCATATAGCTCATGTTTGGTCCACTTAAAAAGGTTAATTAAAATTTATGTTAAAATCAGCTATTAATTTTAACAACACATTTTATGGGTTCTCAATTTTTCAACAACACATTCCGTCAATATATATATAATTAATGCATGTTTGAAACTCATTTAATAAAAATTTATTTTCTTCTAAACTTATTTTTAACCGTGCATTCTCTCAATAAAATAGTTTTACACGTGAATTTAAAATTATTTCATATCTTTCAACCACACATCCTTAAAAAAAATCACTATTATAAAACATATTCTTCTAAAAAAAAAATGGGGTTCAAACAAACCCTTAATTTTTATCTAAACTAAACGGGAGCATAATGTTATAGAAATCAATCTTGAAATTAAATTAAAATAACAAAAGATCAATGATTAAATGGTCGAACTAGCTTCAAATCGATGACAAAAAAATTATATAAATAATGAAATTCTTCTATTTTTGTTTTCATAAAAAAAAATAATGCTTCAACGTGCCCTCCAAGAGAGCAACCAAGAATAGGGACAATGGATGGAGCATTGATCCGAAGATTAAGAGTATGTTTGAACTCCATTTTTTTTGTCAAAATATATTTTAGAATAGTGATTTCATAGAGGATATGTGGTTAAAAAATAAGAAAAAATTTTAAATTTATATGCAATATTATTTTATTAAAAAATGTGTAATTAAAAATAGTAGAGAAAAAATATATTTTGAAAATAACCAGAGCAATCAAGGACTATAAGTAAAATGTGAAGTAGCTATATAATGATTTCGGCTCAAAATTAGCTTGTCGTAGACGGCAGAGAAAGAAGATTCAGCTCCCGTTTGACACCCATTAATTTCTTATTCTCATTTTCATTCACATTCTCATTTTTCATTTCAACCACACATTTTCTAAATAAAATAATATTACACACAAATAAAAAAAAAATTCATCATTTTTCCACCACACACTCTCACATCAGTCATTATTCCAAAATTTCTATTCTCTTCAAAAATTAGCTTGTCGTAGACAGCAGAGAAAGAAGGTTCAGCTCTCGTTTGACACCATTAATTTCTCATTTTCATTCTTCATTTCAACCACATATTCTTCAAATAAAATTCCTATTCACATTCTCAGTAATGTTTTGATGTTTTCATAGCGTGGACCCCACATTTTTGCATTTATTTATGAGCCATCCCACCAAACAAGGAAGTCCAAAGAATCTGGACGTATTAAGAGCAAGTATATGTTTCATGTTTGGATGTGCTAAAAAGTTTACTTATAAGTAATGCTTGCAACAAAGCCAATTCCACTTAAAAAGGTTAATTAAAATTTATGTTAAAATCAGCTATTAATTTTAACAACACATTTTGTGGGTTCTCAATTTTTCAACAACACATTCCGTCAATATATATATAATTAATGCATGTTTGAAACTCATTTAATAAAAATTTATTTTCTTCTAAACTTATTTTCAACCGTGCATTCTCTCAATAAAATAGTTTTACACGTGAATTTAAATTTTTTTCATATCTTTCAACCACACATCCTTAAAAAAAATCAATATTATAAAACATATTCTTCTAAAAAAAAATGGGGTTCAAACAAACCCTTAATTTTTATCTAAACTAAACGAGAGCATAATGTTATAGAAATCAATCTTAAAATTAAATTAAAATAACAAAAGATCAATGATTAAATGGTCGAACTAGCTTCAAATCGATGACAAAAAAATTATATAAATAATGAAATTCTTCTATTCTTGTTTTCATAAAAAAAATAATGCTTCAACGTGCCCTCCAAGAGAGCAACCAAGACTAGGGACAATGGATGGAGCATTGATCCGAAGATTAAGAGTATGTTTGAACTCCATTTTTTTTGTCAAAATATATTTTAGAATAGTGATTTCATGGAGGATATGTGGTTAAAAAATAAGAAAAAATTTTAAATTTATATGCAATATTATTTTATTAAAAAATGTGTAATTAAAAATAGTAGGGAAAAATATATTTTGAAAATAACCAGAGCAATCAAGGACTATAAGTAAAATGTGAAGTAGCTATATAATGATTTCGGCTCAAAATTAGATTGTCGTAGATGGCAGAGAAAGAAGATTCAGCTCCCGTTTGACACCCATTAATTTCTTATTCTCATTTTCATTCACATTCTCATTTTTCATTTCAACCACATATTTTTCAAATAAAATAATATTACACACAAATCAAAAAAAAATCATCACTTTTTCACCACACACTCTCACATCAGTCATTATTCCAAAATTTCTATTCTCTTCAAAAATTAGCTTGTCGTAGACGGCAGAGAAAGAAGGTTCTACTCTCGTTTGACACCCATTAATTTCTCATTTTCATTCTTCATTTCAACCACATATTCTTCAAATAAAATTCCTATTCACATTCTCATTAATGTTTTGATGTTTTCATAGCGTGGACCCCACATTTTTGCATTTATTTATGAGCCATCCCACCAAACAAGGAAGTCCAAAGAATCTGGACGTATTAAGAGCAAGTATATGTTTCATGTTTGGATATGCTAAAAAGTTTACTTATAAGTAAATATTTAAATAAATAATTTTTAGTGGCCACTGTTTTAAATAAGTAATTTACTTGTTTTGGCGTAAGGTAAGACATACTTTTAGATTTTATAACTTTTTTACTTATAATAAGAAAAAATGTAATCCAAATATATCTCGAGATAAAAAGTTACTTAAAAGTAATATTTCTTATTTTAAGGAATATCCAAACACGATCTAATTAGTCAACGTTGGTTTCAGGTTTCTTAAACATCACATGGCTGCTCAATTACCTTGTGTACGGCCATCACATGAAAACCAAACAATCACTTCCACTTTTTGGGTTAAGATTTTGTGTCACTTGCTCTCCAATTCATATCCTTGTTCCATCTGCCTTCTTGGTCAAACCATAAAGATTCAACCAAAGTGAAAAAGCTTTTTGAATCTTTAATTGAAGGTAAGCAATTTGCTTTTCTTTTTTGGCCCGTTTCTTGAACAGTTTTATATGTTTGAAGGTTGTAGATGAAGTGTTTGTTATAAGAACTCCAAGGGTGTTCTTATGCTATGTAAACTTTGATTTTTGTTTCTTGGACTTGGGTTGCATTTATGTGATTGCTAGCTTGAAGTTTGTCATTTCTGCAAGTTAAGAAATTGTTTCTCTGCGCAGATTGCCCACTGATTCTGGTGGTGACCAGATGAGATTATGAACAAAATGGTGTGTTGACTTCTGAGATGCAAGTGTTGGTTTGAAGGGTTTTCCCTGATTTGAGAATCGGAGGATGGAAATATTGTTTATTGTTGTTATAAGGAACTTCTTGTGATTTGATAAATGGGCTATGCTTGAAGAGTGGGAATGAATAGAAATTTCATTTTGCTTTATTTAGAGTTGGAAACTACACGAAAATTGAATCTTGCTGAGTGTTTTTATTGTGTTCAGAGCAAGACTAGAATTTTGACTGGTGGAACTTATTTTATTGGGAGTATTTGATGGTCCCGAGGACTTGGGCTCCTCTTGATCGTGGCTTTATGTAGATTTGGGTTATTAAGTTCTGTTGCAATTGGATTTACGCTTTTGTGTTCCGGATAACAAGAGACATTATTAGCTTGCAGCTCTATAGAGGTCAATGTTTACCTGTCTGACAGGATGAAGATTGGTATCTGAGGGAAAAGTCAACTACGCTGTTTGTTATGGAAAGTGGAAATAACTATTCTTTATCATCCGACTTTGTTGCTTCTGATCTTTCAAAGAGGTCGAATAGCTTCAGCATACCTTCCCCCTCTGGCTATGAAGTAGGAACCAATCTTGAATTGTTGAGTTTGAATCGACTCAGCGACAGTCTTGAAAAGCTTTTGCTTGATGCTGAGTATGACCACAGTGATGCAGTGATAGAAGTTGAGGGAACACCTGTGGGTGTCCATCGCTGTATTTTGGCTGCACGGAGTCCATTTTTCCATGAGCTGTTTAAGAATGGGAATGAAAGTTCTGTTAAGGAAAGTAAGACGAAATATCTCATGTCAGAATTGGTGCCTCATTACACAATTGGACATGAAGCATTTAAGGTTCTCTTAACTTATTTATATACAGGAAAGCTTAAGTCATCTCCACGTGAAGTTTCAACATGTGTCGACGAATCTTGTAGTCATGACGCTTGTCACCCTGCAATTAATTATGCTGTGGAACTGATGTATGGTTCTGCCACCTTTCAGATTAAAGAACTTGTTATGCTTATTCAGGTTCGTCCTGTCTCTAACTGGTTAAGCACTTCACATTGAATGAGTATGCATACATATGGCATTCACTTTCAGAGTTTTGAGAATCTTCTTTCAAAAAAATAGAATTATTTTTTTTATTATTGGTTTGGGCATCACTAAAAGTTGTTTTCTCAATGTCCGCGACTTCAAATTACTGTATTATTCTGCAAAGAAATTAACTATATCTCAAGGATGCACGAGGTCACTAACAAAACATAAAGTTCTGCATAAATTCATGATATATATACTTTTAGTCAATAAAGTATCTAAACATACTTTTGGTAGCAGGAAGTGGTAATATTATGTGGCTATTAACATGCCACTTCAAGTGGATTAAATATCATCTCTCTCTGTGCTGCCTATAATGCACCTTGATTGGAACCAGCACATCATGCTGAACGATGGCCTACTATTCTTTTCACTGTTAAAGATTGGGCCTACCCTGCATTTATTCCATAATAACATGCATTCTGATATCACATTCTTTGTTTGCATGCAGCGCCGTCTTCTTGACTTCGTTTATAAAGCTTTTGCTGAAGATATCATTCCAATCCTTGTTGTAGCCTTTCATTGCCAATTAGAGCACCTTCTGTCATACTGTGTCCAGAGATTAGTGCACTCGGATTTAGACAAAGTAGTTCTTGAGAAGGAGCTTGCTCATGAAGTTCTATGTGGCATTCATTCACTTATCCTTGAATCTCAAAAATCTGGTGAACATGCTTCGTTGAGTATGGACCCGGTGAATGAAAAGAGAATTGAAAGGATTCACAAGGCATTAGACTCTAATGATGTTGAATTGGTGAAGTTACTTCTTAAGGAATCTAGTATCACACTAGATGCTGCCTATGCTCTGCATTATGCTGCTGCCTATTGTAATCCCAAGGTTGTGAATGAAGTTCTCAACTTAGGCAATGCTAATGTCAACCTTAGGAATTGCCAAGGGTACACTGTGCTTCATGTAGCAGCCCGACGTAAGGATCCATCAGTAATAGTGGGGCTGCTGAACCAGGGCGCTTCCATATCTGATACTACAATGTATGGACAGACGGCTGTTAAAATATGCCGGAGGCTAACGAGGCCAAAGGATTATAATGAAGAAACGAAGCAGGGCCATGAAACTAATAAGGATCGCTTATGTATTGATGTGCTGGAGAGAGAGATGCATAGGAATCCATTGGCTGGGAACGTGTCTATGTCATCAATGGTGGTGCCTGATGATCTTCTCATGAATCTGTTGCTTTTTGAAAATAGAGGTAAGAATCAATGATAAAATGCATTCCTCGTGAAGTCGAAAAAACTTTTGCCAAAATGGATATGTTGTGCAGTTTCTATTAGTGCTTTTATCTTGTTTTTTTACAACTTTGTTTAAGGTTGGTAGGATAAGATAAAATCACTCTAGAGAATGTGTTGGGAGTGTGTCAAGGCAATCAATAAATGAAAGAAGATAAACTCGTAAGAGGTAGCGTGAAGCTTCTCTTTTAATAGCCTTCATATTCCTTAGTATAAATACGAAAAATGATTTTAAGGGATACCGTTACATTTGTGATGAATATTCTCTTCCAATTTTACCATAAGATGTTAGAATTTGTTCTTCTGAACCATGCATGTATATTCATTTTGAAAATGCACTGTCTTGTATTTCTCTGTCATTTGCATTGTCTATTACATAAGATGCACGGATACTTGTAAAATCATTACGTACTCGTATTCAATACACATCCAAGCTTGGATACTCTCCGATGCGTATCAAATACATGGTTTTTTTTAAAAAAAAATTCAATATGTATAGGCTGCGTATTTTTTATTCTTTTCTATCGAATATGTTAGGAAACATGAAAAAGAGTTATATTGGTTTTGAAGTCTTTTAAAACTCATCACTATTGGCTTTAGATTAACAAAAATTTTACTTAATAGATAACTATAACTTATTAAAAATAGATGATATTTATTAGAAATACACAACTAGAGTTTTAATTTAATTGAGAGCTGGAGTTTTTTATTAGAAACACACAATTGTATTATATCTTTTAATATATGTAAAATCATATTGATAGTTAACAAATATATTTTTATTATTGGAAATAAATAATTGTATTAAGGGCTTGTTCGGTCTAGCTTAAAATCCAATTAAAATTGTAAATATGACCGTTATTGGGTCACACTCGTCTAATAAAAGTCAACAATAATGGCTGATTTTTCAATTTTAATCTAATTTTAATATCTACCGAACACGCCCTAAATCTACAATCAAAGATAGAATTCAAAATGTGGGAAATTATCGGAGACTCATTTGATACTCTTGAAGGTTTTAGGCTACTTCATATTGCTAATCTATCGTTAGATAAGCCAGAATTGAGGAGTGTTATTTTTAATGATAATGAAGAAGTTGATGTTGGTGATGTTGAAGAAAATGAAGTTGAGACAATTAAAGATTAATATAAAATGCTTTAGTATTTTATTTTTTTTTTATTATCAAGCTTCCATTTCAATTTTCTTATACTAATGAAATTATGTTGAATTATATAAATAAACACACACACACATTATGATGCTCGAACTCGGGTACGTATTTAAGTGTCAAATCTTTTATTTTATAACATGTGGGATATAAGGACATTGCTAAAAAGAATCTATATTTATGATACGGGTACGTAGGTACATTTTTCAGACTTCAATTTTTTCCTAGAAATTCACATAAAAAATTAAATAATAATTAAGTGACAAATTATTAAAAGATAGAACGTATCACTTAAAATCAACTAAAAATTCATATTGAAAGTCTAAAATACCAAAATAACATAAATTTACATAACAAAAGCACAAAATAAAAATAAAAATTAGAAAATGACATAATTAATTACAATTGCCATACTCGCTTGAAAATTGAAGGATCCGCCTCATATTTCATAACCATACTCGTGTCGTGTCGTGTTGACAAAGGTATGTCGGGAATGTCAAATCTGAGCATCACGGTATATACACGCACACACGTATTTGTGTATCCTAATTTTTTTAAAAAAAAGTTGTATCGATGTATCCATATCGTATTCGAATTACATATCTAAATCCGTGCGTCTTAGTCTATTAGTACTAAATTGATATTGTAATCATTTGATTAAGTTTTTAAATGTTAAATTTATTTTGAATAAATTAGATAAAATTGTGTTTGGGAGGATAGGCGAAGATGAATAGTAGAACCTCTTCGCGACAGATTTATAATCTAATGTTTATAAGTTGGAAGTCAAATTAAAATACAACCATTCTGTTTATATTAAATTGTATTGTTAACCGTTGTACACATCGAATATCACTAATCAACAACCCTGAGGGGTTGCTCAATTGGTCAGGCCTTGGGTTTGCTCCCCAATGATCACCAGTTTGAGTCCCCTCAGGGCCACTGAGGTGAGTATCCGACCATAAATTTCAAGGCCCAGTGGAATTAGTCGAGGTGCGCGCAAATGGACCGGACATCCACGGTTATCAAAAAAAATATATATATATATATCACTAATCAACTCAAAACATGCCATTTATAGATGATATATATGATATATCCACATGTCTTTATCTTTTGGTGGATAAGGTTGCGTATTTCTTTTGTATTTTAATTATGTGCATATACTACTATAACCCTTGTTAGAAACTCACATGAGGATTTCCACTTGCTTTATTTAGCCTCATCTAATTCGACTGCCATGCTAGTCATGTATAACTTTATTTTGATTAATGTTGTGATCAACATTATCATAGTTAAAGATCTACCTTTATTTTTACCTAATGATGAGTTTACATTAAGGTTGAGTTTTATAAATCTTGTTTTATGCGGCAGTGGCAATGGCACGAGCCCTTTTTCCTCTAGAAGCCAGATTAGCCATGCAGTTAGCACATGCAGATTCTACCTCTGAGTTCACTGGCCTTTCAGCATCTAAAGGAACATATGGGAATTTTGGAGAGATTGTTTTAAATGAAATGCCATCTGAGCAAGTCAAAAGGCTCCAGTTGAGGCTGCAATCGCTGCAAAAAACTGGTAAGTTCAAACTAATTTTTTACACTACCTTCAGTGATCTAATCACTTGCTGTTGAGTGCATAAATTGATTATTCAGTCTTTTTGGCTGCTTATTACAATTAGAAAATATAAGCAGAAAACTGTAGCATCAGATCTGGGTTCATAAGGTGAATGGAAATATTGATAGATCTTCAAATGCATTATGCTTGTAAAATTAATTTTAAATTTTTTCTATGCATTTTGTTCATTCTTAAGCTGTCTCTTTATGGATCACTAGGTCTTGAAACTATTTCCAACTAAAGAAATAGAGTAACGCTGCTTCCCGAGGGGATTTGATAGGGATGTTCTTTTTAACTTAATTTCCTCGTTTTATGCATAAAGGTTCTTCCCCTTTCTACTCTGTTTCATTTCCCTTTCCGCTATCTAGTTCTGACTTGCCTTCGCCCCATGGTTCTCCCATTTCTGGCACAGGATCCTAAATAAAATTTGGACGTAGAAGTGAATAGAAGTATAAAAATAATCCATTATCAGATGACAGGCTTTAGAATTCAGATTTTTTGATAAGCTCGCTCTTTTGACTCTTGGATTATGCATAGTACTTGTTTTCTGCATTCAAGCTCGTGTTTTCCCACAAATCCTTGACTAGTTACCCCTGTATTGACTCCCATCTCGTCTCTCTCTCTCTCTCTCTATGTTTTCCAGTAATTTCTTGGTATGTTCCCCATCTTCATTTTAAATATTCTTCTATCTGATAAAATTGATCTAGATAAAAACAGGATGTGATTTTGCAGCTTAGTGAAGCTTTTCCAGAATCTCTTTTTCAGTGTCAAAAGTTGAGGGAGAAAACGGTCTTTTGGGGGATGGAAAGGATTCTGAAGAAGAAATATTGAATATCTCTTGAATCTTTAGGCTCAGTTAATCATCAACGAGCCATGTTTTGCAGAGAGTAGTTGAGGAAAACGTAGACTTCAGGAATTTGTGCCTATATATAGATTTGAGGTTTTATTTCTTGGGTGTACTGTAGGAAGTCATCTGAGGTCTTGGGATTTCAGATGTTTCTTTTATTTTATTTCCATGTTCTAAATATTTTTTCTCATCTCCCATGGCTCAACCAAACCATATAAATCTTGTGTCGCTTGCTTTCTATTTTGTTACCATTCTTGTTGGTGGTGTGTTGAATGTTCATTTATTCCTGAAATCAGCCTATTGTAAATCGAAATTGAGACATCATCACATGTTTCTAGTCAAAATTGCTAGAAGGTTTCAAAAGCATATTAAGAGCTTGTTTGACCCCATTTTTTTCCCTTTAAAATGCATTTTGAAATAGTAGATTGATGGAGAATGTGTGATTGAAAAATAAGGAAAAATTTTGAATTTGTGTGTAATATTATTTTATTGAATAACGTGTAGTTGAAAAGAAGAGAGGAAAATGTATTTTGAAAATAGTGTGAATCAAACAAGGGCTAAATTTCACTGCTCCTGAAGAGCTTTGAGAAAAACTGAAAGAAGTTGACTGATGTCTTTAGTTGCTTTACAAGTACTATTCAATGTTTTTTAATTATGTTAAGAACAGGAGATTAATAAACTTTGTACAACTCTTTTGTCTAAAAACTACGAAGAGAATGGCCCAATTTACAGGTTTATAAAATATACTAATAACGCAATCAAAGTATTATGGAAATAATCTCTGAGAACCTTAGGAAGGGTCAAGAACCAGTTAATAAAAGGAATATCTTTGAAATAAAGTCAAAAACCGGTCAGTAAGAACAGAACCTTATGACAAGTTTAAGAACCAGTTGATATAAAAGAAATATTGGAAACAAGGTCAAAAACTGTATTTCCTATCTTTAACGTATTGGTTCAAGACTTGTACAACGAAAGCAACTTAAAATTTCAGATACTGAATGATATTTAAATCATTCTCTCTCTCTTCCTTGATGGCAGTTGAGACAGCCCGACGCTTCTTTCCCAACTGCACAATAGTTCTGGATAAGCTCTTGGAGGATGATACTATAGGTACTACGTTATTAGAGAAGGGCACTCCAGAGGAACAGAGGATGAAAAAAATGCGCTACATGGAACTCAAGGAAGATGTGATGAAGGCATTTAGCAAAGACATGGCTGAAAATAACTGGACAAACTTATCCTCGTCTTCCTCTTGTTCATCTTCTCCAAGAATTGGTAAAATTCAAAAGGGTAGGAAAAAAAAAGGTTATTAATCAACCTTTTTAACCTTAAACTTCGAAAGTTCCTTATAGGTTCCTTTCTCCTATAACTATGCTATTTTGTGCTTTCTTGTTTATCTCTTAGTGATGTAAATAGTGACTGGAAGCATATAACTTGTAGCTAATTTCCTTGGAGCTCATTGTCCTGTGATATAATGTTTGACATTGTGAATTTCGATTGGCAAGAGTTGGAATGAAAGTGGATTGATTGTGAAGTAATTCCAAATTCCTTTATTTTTCTGATATCATGTACTCTAGCCAAAATTATGACTTGGTTCTTTGTTTCCTCAGGTTTGTTTAGATGTAAATGAACTTAGCTGGGGAAAAATAATCCATTTAAGTGTCTTTTCGACCCTCTTGAGTCTTAAGTTGATTTATATTATATCAACTTATCTTTTAGCAGGTGTTTGTCTCCGATTTAATCTGGGGATCAAATTGATTGTGTGTTATGATTCCCATCTCAAATTAAAAGAGATTGTCTGCCGAACGAGGATCTTTCCATTCTTTCACCAAAGTTGTTGCATGGAGTCTAATTTTATTGTACCCTTTTTCCCTTTCGTACACTCGTAGGTTGTCTTAATATTCTTACTATATAACAAAAATATTAGACGAGAATTTTTGGTGGATATATATAGATGGAGAGGTGGTTGGTATCTTTGTAATAGTAAAAATATGTAGCGATAAGTGGATGCAACTCAAGTTAAGAGGTGAATCTGCTTGAGTGGTTAGATTGCAGGTAGATTGTATTTGTCACTAACTTTTGCCTCGCGGGAATTTGAAGTTCTTAAAATGAGAAGTACATGCAAAATTGACACGCATTATAATGATGAATTGGATTCGACTTAGTGATTAGGTTAAGAAGAGATAGACGTGTTCAGCATATCAAACATATTGCAAATTCGACAAATAACATTTGCAAGCCACTTCTAAGTTCACGACAATAATTAGCTTACACAATAATTATTTGAATTTGAACTACTATTAATTATAATTCCATTATAGAATTGCGCAAATTGCTTAACCCCATTTGAAAATCATACTTTTCAAACTTTTTGTTCTACATGCCCATTTTCAACCACATTCACACAACAAAATATTTTGCACGTAAATTCAAAAAAAAATCCTACTTTTAACCACGCATTCTCTAAAAATCACTATTCAAAACTCTTTTTTTCTATAAAGTATGGTTGTCANCCTGTTACCCGTTTAAGCGGATTTTCCTCTCCCCGTTCGGGGCGGGTCCCCGTGGGTATCGGGTTTGTCGGATTTTTTTGCCATCCATAAAACTAGCCACACTGTCTCCCAAAACCCAAACTAAAGCGTTTCAGAGAAATTGCGCATCATTTCATTCGTTGGGTGAAAACGAAGAAAAGAAGAACGAGAGTAAATAAAATATGGCTTTTAACATTATTAATAATTAATAAGAATAATAAAATTTGCAAGTACAGTTGATGAATGACAATATATCTGACAGTAGGGCCAGTGTCGCATTCTTCAATGAATTAAAATATCTTCCAACTTTATTAGAGAATGTAGTAGTGCCACGTAGACTGTTATCCATTAATAATACTTATAAATAGAATTACACTTAAAAGTGCGAGGGCGTGTAACTTGGCTTGGGAAACTTAACCAAGTTCAAAGTAGTAAAGCCCTCTTCTCCGAATTTTTCTTTTGTTACTTTAAATATGTCTTGCCCGAATCTTATTTTCGGTTGTCAAATACTTTTCCTCTACACTAGGTTTGAAGGGTGACTTAACACGTTGCATGCGATGGGTGAGAAATTAGGAGACGTTAAGGTCACACACAGTGCTTGAAATCTACAGGTCTATGACAAGCATACCCTGCGAATTTACCTCCATCTCGAGATCCAGTAGTCTATACAATGGTTTTCCGAAATTTCTTATCCAAAATTGCACAAAAAGAGTAACAATTGTTTCATTCTAATAAATTTCAAATTAAACAAAACAAATGCGTTCGAGTAAAAGAGATACCTGATCTAATGAATTACATAATCTGATCAAATTACCAAGATGAGATAGATCAACAAATTGTTCATTCAATTTCAGCAATATTACCCTTCATTCACGAAAACACTTGGAAAAAATGATGTAACAATTATATCCTATCTAATTTCTCTATTCACTAACAAAGCAGATATGTGATTGGTATTTATTAATATGTTAAATGAGAAAAGGTTGTACCTTATAAAGAAAGAACTCAAAGGACAAGGATTAATCTATAATCTATAGTTCATAATATATTAAATATCACATCAAGTGAGAATCATTTTTTAGACGATTTTAACCCAACTACAATTCAATTATTTCAACAACGCCTTATTTTTCGTTTTTCAATATGTAATAAATATTACAAAATCCTTGTCATGTATGAATTTCGTGTTTTTAATTCTCAATTAATTAACATTCACATTAATCTAGATTTAATGAATCTTGACTTTATAAATCTTGATATACATGAATTTAGATTATTATAGATGAATTTATTTCTATTCATGTATCTAAAAATTTTAATTTCAAATATAATAATTAAACTAACTAAATTTCCAAATTCTAATTTCTATAACTGGTTTTTGAGCTTGCCATATACACTAAAATGGAACCAATATTTCATTGGAACATCCAAACAAAAGGTTCAAAATGACAAACACAAAGCCCCAAAACCCCCTACTTCTATGACAGCATTTCCTCATCACTGGTGGACTTAAATAACACACCTAATCTAAGAATTTAAAACAGACATCTGATTTCAGCAACCGTAGGGTTTTTGGATTTTAAGAAAAGAAGAAGTGAACACGACAACATCGATTGAAATTTGGGAGACGGGGTTCCAATCATATGAAGAAATGAAGAAGCTCCAAAGAAAATTTGTTCACCAAAGGAAATACAGGATGACTGAATCGTAGAGAAGAACAAATTCTAAAGATAATCTGTGATTTTGTTACATATGGTTTGATTTCAAATGGGCAGTAAGAATAACGATGGAGAGAAAGTGAAAGGGGATCTGAGAAATAGAGAGAGAAAAATAAAAGAGGGAAAAATAAGATCTAAGGAAATCCAAATAGAAAGGACATGCGAAATTAAACAACAAATAGTAAAGAGAGAAGAAGGAATGACAAGTATTGAATGGTTGTGTAATGACCAAAAACTTGTTGTCAATTTTTATATCCCGCAAGTATATGGATCGTAACAAGTAATATAATTGACCAATGAGTCCAGATATCGTTCTCACGAGAACTATCTAATAATTAGTTAAATTATTCCTAACTTACAAATAATAAAGTTTTGTGATTGGTGTCTAAATTATTCTTGCTAAAACTGAATTATCTAACGTACAAAATTTGTCGAAATTGAGTTTTAATAATATAAATATAGGATGCTAGGACTTACAATTTTACCTATAGATCTCATTTAATTCGGCAATCAATATTCATTACTATTGTAGTGTTCGGTAATATTCTTCTAAAGTATTCAATTTACCCCTCTCGAGAGTTATCATCGAGTCTCCATATCTCTATGTGAATCAACCTTAATTAAACGAAGTATTTGTTTTAAGAATTTATCTAATGACCGCAATCATTAGTAAAGATATCTCTAAACGTTATACTAAATTACCGAATTTTACTATGTGGTCTAAATCTAAAACTCATCTCTCGATTCGTGATAGATTCACAAAATCATTGAATACTTGATCAAATAATTCAAAATATTAAATTCATAAATAAAATCTACATGTGGTCTAAATTTAAAACTCATCTCTCGATTCATAATAGATTCACAAAATCAAGAATAATTGGCCAAAGAATTCAAAGTATTAAATTCATTAATAAAATCAACACATATGCATTTAAAGAACTATAATCTTGAATAAAATAAATAAGGGTCACACAGAAATTACATTGTTTACCCATTTAAAGAACTATAATCTTGAATAAAATAAATAAGGGTCACACAGAAATTACATTGTTTACCCTAACTTTGAATTTAGGTACTCATAAAAATGAGAGAAAAACAAAAAATATAGAGTTCATATCCATATTTTGAAATCTTGATCATGGAAAGAATTGGATCTTGCACCAAGAATCTTTTTCAACCTCAAATGTCTTCAAACCCTAACTTTAGCTCTTTGATCTTGATGATTATGTGTTTTTCTCTCCCCACCAAATTATGTGGAACTAGAATTTTATGTCTTCTTTGAGTCCTGGACAAGTTTAAGTTGAGTTAGGCTTTTAAAAAGATGAATTGCACTTGAAAACCCTATTTTTAGCTGCGGACAGCGTCTGGGCGCCACGAATCTCTTCTTTTCCCCGAGTGGCGCCTCGACACCACCCGCTATTCCCACTCTACACCTTTTTCAGTATTTTTGTTATAACTTTCTCTTTCGATATCCGATTAATGCAATTCAACGTGCGTCGGAAAGATAACTCAAAGGGCAATAACTTTACTTGAAACAGCTTGTTTCCAATTCGAACGTTTACTAGGTTAGAAATGGGTTTCAATCTTAAACTAAAAATCTGGAATATATTTGTGTGGTTGAAAATTAATTTGTATTCATATTTCATTGTTTTTTGACTTCTAATTGCATCCAATTGACCCCTGCCATTTTTTAATCTTTATCGTGAGCTTGGCCACCACTTTTGAGTATTTATATTTTAATTCCCAAACTTTGGATTTTGCCCTTTTTCGCCAGTTTTCACTTCTTTCTTTCAAATTCACTTCATTTCATCGAGTTGCACATAATAAACGAAATATACAATAAATTAGGCTATAATTGTTCAAAAGAACTATTAAATGTTTATATTTTTAGTCCAAATAAGTGTATAAAATACACATATCATATTCCATCATTAAAATAAAAAATAAAAAATTGAATCATAGAAATTGAGTTTTAAGAGTACAATTTCCTTCTCCTAAATATCTATCTTAAATTTTATTTCCTTTAATTTGTTTGAGACTTATCAAAACCTGTCAACAAAT